ATATTTGGCATTTTATTATAACTTAACGAGCATTGATTGGTTCTCTTCTGAACAATTCGAGAATTTTTAATACTTGGATGCTAATGAAAATCATAAAAATAATATGAACATTGAGATTAAGTCTAGAATAAGTGCAGTAAATTGTAGTTACTATTCAATGAATAAAATATTCACATTTAATCTCCTTTCAAGGAACACAAATAAAAACTATACATTACCTACTTACACAATATTATTATGTACAGGTGTGGAATGTAGTTCACGATGCAGGGTGACAAGAATAAATTATTGACTTTCGAAAGGAAAAAAACAAGGACCTATATTAAATACCTGGTGTACCTATATGAGAGAAGAAAATAAGTAGACTTAAACAGACTGTATAATGCACCTAACTGATAAGATTTTCTGAGTTAAAGTGGACTGTTTATGTTTGACGTGCAAAGAATAGATTGATTAGACAGTTACTCATTAACAAGCCAAATAAAAAACTATCTGTAGAAAGATCAAGACAACGATAGATTGATCGAGTTAAAAATGACTTAAAAAGATTATGATATGGAGCGATTATTGAATACGCAGTGAGTCGAAAAGTTTGGAGGGCTTTATTAGAATCTGTGAAGTGCCTGAATAGCCTTATAAGAAAATTAAAAAAATAATAATAACCTAGTTAGATTTTCACTGGTTAAAAAATGTTGAGCCACTCATATCCTTCTCCATCCAGGACAAAGCACTCCCAGTCCACCCCTGAGAAACAGGATCATTAAATGATTATTTTGTATCCACTACAACTGGAACTGAAGATAATTTAATTGACTTTGAAGAAAATGCTGAAGATTATTGAATGATACGTGACTACTTTCTAGTACTGAATAATATTATAGTTGCAAACATGAAAACTAAATTCTCAACAGAAAACATTTAATTGGGCAACTAAGTTAATATATTATTATATCTAAAATATGAAATTGACTCCTATTTTGTGGTAACCATTTTGAGGTAAGTTTGTTATCTAAAGTTTTATTTTTATTTGTTAGTTTAATATTATAATATTATATTTAGGTCCTCGTTACCAGCGAATGAAAATGACCCGAGATTTATATTTAATATTGCTTAGCAGTGTTTGAATAAACTAAAGCTTAATAATAATATAACACGCTGAAAGCTATTTAGGTCTATTACCACACATCTTAATACATAATATAAGTTAGAACAAATTATTATTATAGATCATAATATGGTACGTGCAAGGTTTTCAGATTTTAATGTATTGAACCAAACATATATATAAAAAAAATAGACAACAAAGAAATAATTGTTTACCATATTTTTTTGGAATTTATTAATTTATGAAAATACAGTACCTAAGTATTAAATCTGAAATTGTTTTATACTTGGTCATTAGTTGAATTATTTATACAAAGAGAAAGGGATACTACTCACACCATATTTTTTTTTTACTGTAAAACCTATTGGGCTTAAGGCCTAAATAGAGTATGGAAATACCTATATATTTCCATACTCTATTTACATCTATAAGTAGGGAATAGTTGCCCACAGTGAGATAATTATTATTATTTTTTAAATAATCCATTCAGTTTTAATAATGTATAAAATGAAATATGGAAGGACATACTCAGAATGTTATTGAGTATCAAAATATAAATGTATGTATTCTAAGTTTGGCTTTAATCTTATAAGTTCCAACTTTTCTAAAATAAAGTCATATTGTCTCATTATGAGGGATATAAAATAAACATAAAATATTATACAAATATTCCTTGCAATAAACTTCTTTTTATACATTGAAAACAAAACAAATAATTTAACTATTTAACAAAAAATTACAAATTACAAAAAGAATTGCATAGATAACATTAAGATACATATTATTTAATAAAAAAAAACAACAAATTTATTTTAAATTTATCAAACTTGATATCAATATATTGAAATAATTATTTAAGATATAAAGTTATATAGACAGTTGATAATTAAACAATGTTAAACAAATCTTAACAAACAATAATATACCTATAGTATAGCATTAAAAATAAATTTATGAGAAAGTAGAGTATTATAATTATTTATTATCTCACTGTGTCCTTTCTCGGTCTGTTCTTAAGTACTTTTATTTATACAATTTACTGTTTTTAATAATAATAAGATAAATTACATCCCAATCATAATATGAAAAACAATATTTGAAATGAAATGAAATTTATTATACATACCTTACCAAATTGAAAATATCTAAACAAAACTGAGTTCTTTTCTGTTAGCAATACAATTAAACAATTATATTATGTTAAGTTATATTTAATTATTGTTTGTATTTTAAACGATTGATTTAAATACAATTTGTTTAGATGCACGTTTAAACATTTTATTTTCCAGCATGTACATAATACAAAAGTAAAAAGTATCCTTCTACATAAATCATAATACAAACATAATATCTTAGATAACAAAGAATGGATAGGCTACAACAATAAACTGAGATAATATGGACTGAGTACTGACAACTAATGGCTGGCGGGTGGTACCGGTGCGGTCGAATATTTTCGATGGAGAATTCCTAAGTGGGGGAATATCCAAAAACCGTAATGATTTAGTGTTATTTTTCAGAACTATACAGCATGCGTTGCGAGAATACGTGAAAGTACAGGTGCAGATGCGGTGTGCCTATGATACAAACATACAGATGAAAATACGTTCATGATTATGAGGTTTTCAATTTTAAATTATTGGTTTATAAGTGTTATTATTCTACAACAGATAGCGCTTTAATATCTAGATTTCTCTTTCCATGAAAATTTCTTCAAGAAATTCGACCGGAAGAATTGGTTCCGTTGCCAATCCATATAGCCACAACATATGCAATCGGAATGTGAAAAAAAAAGACCATAAATTTCGTCCTTCTCTGATTAAGGATATTTTGAGGTTATGTTCAAACTAAATTGTTATTGTAATTTTTACCTACTATTTTGTTTATTATAAATCATATTTTAAAAATATGCGGCATATAATAAAGCTTAATAAAGCTTAGTATTTAAAAATGTCAATAAAATTAATAATTAGTTTATTTCGATAATGGTTGCGACTTATGTAGTTGCCGCTTATCTAACTTCAAATACGTATGTTTCTTATCACGTGTAAGTGCACAATAAAATTAATTGTATATTTTAAACAAGATTGTCTTATTTAAAATTAATTTGAAAAAAAGAAATTGAAATTGAAAATTGAATCTTAGTTAAAAAAATATAACCTATAATAAAATGGAAGGATATATTAATGTTAGAACAGCTTTAATAAAGACGTGTAACATGTGTGGAATAACAACTACATATAAAAATTAGTCTAGACATTTAAGATCAGAGGAACATAAAAGAAATGATCCAAGTGAAATTATTAAAACTAATTTTCATAAAAAAACTATTCAGATAATTAAAAATAGTATCCCAAAACTTAGAAAAAAGAGAACAATAAAACATCACAGAGTTTTCTGGATATTTCCTAAAATAGAAAAACAAAAACGACCAAAAAGACAAACTAAAAAAATTGACTGTAGCGGAACATATTTTGAAGATAAGATTCCAACGCACATAATATTCTCAAAGTTGGATAATAGCTTATTTAAGAGAGAAAGACCTACTTAAAAAAGATTGTTGATAATACTACTGATAATTGGTCTACTTTTAAAGGGAGAATATTATCATTTATTGTTGAAAATACACGACAATTTAAAGATATCAATCAATTTTTGAATTATTCAAAAAAGTTTGTTGAGAAAAAAATGTTTGAATATTTAAAAGAGAAAGGTAATTTAAAAATGTATATTTTAGTAAATTGTAAATTTATCCATAAAAATCCATCAAACGAGGAATTATATACAGACTTTAGATCAGAAAGTGAACGTTCCTTTATTCTAGTAATTTCAATGAATTTTATAACAATGTAAAAACAACAATTTAATCTCGAGAAGATGCATTTATAGCTAATGGTTCTGGTTGGATATTTAATCAGGTTACAAATATGAACATAAACATATATAAATATACTCCACTTAGAGGGACATCATATATTGAATTACCAAAAATGATATCTGATAAAATAACTATTATCAACATTAAAAACGAAGATAACAAATGTTTTCTTTGGTAAATTATTGCTGCTTTACATCCAGTGACAAAAGATGCAAACTGGGTTAGCAAATATAAAGAATGGGAAAATTAATTTGATGAAGTATTTAAAAGTTTAAAAATTGAATTTCCAGTTAAATTAAAAGATATTCCTAAATTTGAAAAAAAAAATGTATATGTCTATTAATGTGTTTACTTATGAAGATAATAAAAATTTAGTACCACTACAAATATGTGATATTCAAAAAGAAACACATATTAATTTATTTTATCTTACAGAAGAAAATAATGAACATTATTATTTGATTAGAAACTTAACGAATTTAGTTGGATCACAAAAAACAAAATATGTCCATACAACATATTTATGCAAAATGTGTTTATCTCAATTTTATACTGAGGAAAGTCTAACAGACCATGAGAAATATTGCAGAAATAATAAATATGCTAAAGCAATATTACCGAGCATATCTAATTGTGTTCTTCAATTTGAAAAATACAATCAATCTTATAAAACTCCTTTTGTCTTACCCATGTCAACCTTCTGATACAGCTTCCTATACAAAAACATATTAAAACCAATTACCTTTTAGTTTTTGTAATAATGTTAAATATAGTAATACTAGTAAAAGTAATCTAGTAACATATTTAGGTGAAGATGCAACAAAAGTTTTTTATGAGAAAATAAAAGATGAAGCTCTTTATACTGCAAAATATTATTTAGATGTAAAAAAACCTATGATAATATCGAAAAAACAAAAAACTGAATTTGAAAAAGAAAATAACTGTCATATATGTAAACAATTTTTGATTAATTTACCATTAATACTAGTGAAGAAATAGAGAATACTAAATAAAATTATGGACTACTGGCAATCTAAAATAATTGAAGTTGCTATGCAATTTTGGTTTCCTATAATAAAAGGAGAACCAACAATTTTTTGCGATAAACAATATTCGGAATTACTTCTTGATATTAATATATATGATGGTAAAATAAAAAATTTAGAACAAATAAGTAAATTTTAAACGAGGATTGAGAAATATGAAATAGAAGAAAGAAATTCTTTATTTCTTAAATTCTTTAAAGAAATTCTTTAATTCTTAAATTCTTTAAATTCTTTAAAGATCTTCAAGAACCTATGAAAAAGGTTAAAGATCACGATCACTTAACAGGAAAATATCGAGGAGCAGCTTATTCAATATGTAATTTAAATTATAAGGTTCCTAGATTTATTCCAGTATTTTTCCACAAAATATCTGGTTATGATGCACATTTATTCATAAAAGAATTAGGTATTAATAAAGATAATATAAAAACAATTGCAATAAGTGAAGATATCAAAAAATATATGATATGAGAAAATAGATCCAATTATTAAAGACCCTGTTTTAAATCAGAAAGGAAAACCTACTTTTAAAACAGTTAAAATAAGATTTCTTAATTCTTTCAAGTTCTTATCTAGTTCTTTAGAAAATTAAATAATATTTTAAAATAAAATCAATTTAAAGAATTATCTAAACATTATCCTGAACAATTGGATTTAGTAAAATTAGAATTAGAACTATTCAGAGATATTGATATGTATTTAATGTTTGAACAAGGAATAAGAGAAGGATTATCTCAATGTAGTATTAGATATTCTAAAGCAAGTAATAAATATTTTGGAGAAAAAAGAAAAGAAAAAACATCAACGAAATATCTCTTAGATTTGGATATAAATATTCTCTATGGATGGGTGATGTGTAAATATTTACCATATAAAGGATTTAAATGGTGTAATCCTGATTCGTTTAATAACGGAAAAATGTTAAGAATGAAAGAACCAGAAATAGGGCTATATTTTCGAAGTAGATTTAAAATATCCTGAAGAGAGCTTCATGTTCTTTCTTATTATCCACTGGCTCCCAAAAATGTATTTGATAATAAAGAATTATCAAAATTAACAACAACTCTATATGATAAAAAATATATTTTACGTTATATTAATCTTGGGCTTTATTTAAGTTAAGGTTTAAAAATAGAGAAAATATATAAGGTAATAAAATTTGATGAAAAAGATTGGTTAAAACCATATATAGAATTTAACACAATTCTTCGTGGAAAAACATATAATGAATTTGAAAAAGATTATTATAAGTTAATGAATAACAGTGTATTTAGTAGGACTATGATGAACACAAGGAATCATAAAGATATAAAATTAATTAATGAAAATTAATTAATTAATTGATGAAAAAAAAATAGAAGAATGGGTTGCTTAACCAAATTTTGATCGATCAACTATTTTTACAGAAAACATAGTAGCTGTACATATGAAAAGAACTATGGTTAAATTAAAACAACCAATTTATTTAGAAATGTGTATTTTGGATTTATCTAAAACTCGAATGTACGATTTTTATTATAACGTATTGAAAAAAATATCAGATTATTATACACAGGCACAGATTCTTTAATAGTAGAAATTACAACTGATGATTTTTATACAGATATAAAAAACAATAAACAACTTTTAAATGAATTTGATTTTTTACATTTTCCTGAAAATAATAAATATGAATACCCCAAATAAATAAAAAAGTTCCAGGTAAATTTAAAGACGATCTTAATGGTCAAATAATGACTGAATTTGTTGGGTTAAGATCTAAATTATATACATTTAAAGTATTTGAAAATAAAATGGATAGGAATATTATACTAAATATTTTTAAAACCAGGCCTACACTGAATTTTTATCCTGGACATGTGTCTGTTGAGAACCATGAATTATTTCCAAAAGAAAACTATTTTAAAAAACCAAACCGTCAATTTAAACGATAATCAATTTATCATTATTACAGTGTTATCATAAAAATGTAACAATTATTTTTGCTATGATAAAAATGCCCCTACTGCTTATCAACCATAGATATTTTATTATCTGCTACAAAGCCGCTGTACCCTTGATAAACTTGTGTTTGTAACTTATTCATTGAATGTGTAATTGTAATCGATGAGCGTGTGTTAGCTAACATTTGGCTATCGAAATATAAATAAAATGGTAAGTTTATCTTTGTTTTAATTTACACAAGACATTTTCTATCGTTATTTTATGTTATGTAATAAAATTAAGTACAATTTACCTATTTGATTACATTTGTTTAATACAATATTTCAACCGATAAGGCTGAGTTGCACAAACACGTTCCGTTATGAACAAACGTACGTGTATTATTTAGAGTTAAAACCGAATGAGTGAACGGAATTTATATCAGACACAGTTTGAAACTTGAATTCATTGTATATTTTTTTCCTGTCAGTATCATTGTCAAATTTTGTATAGTTTACGGGAGGCTATCAAAATTCCTCAAATCAAAATACCGACAGTGTCAAAATTCTGATAAAATTAAAATCCTGAGAGACAATATCACGCAAAATTTCGTGGATATGATTTATCGCGTTTTACATTTTGACTGTAATATACTTGATGAATTTTTAATTCGAAATATACTGTATAATATACTTATTACAATACTACAGGCAACACATTCATTAATTAATTAATTTTTTATTTATACATATAAATTTGTTATTTATATATTTATTTACCATATTAATTAATGATTTTTAAAAAGTTACTAGTAAACTAATTTTTTTTTAAAAAAAAAACCTGAATTGTAATTCTGTGATTAACTATTTAATAAATTAATTAGAATTGTCATAATGTGTAAAGAGTTAAATAAATATAAAAAAACATATAAATAATAGAAAACAAAAATGTATTATACAAATTCATTTATATAATAGGAATCAAACTTGAAGGATCAATCCGAGAAGAACTTCACTGGTTTTACTACCAGTGACATAGAAAAGAGTGAAAAAAAATTGATGAGTGAGTTCATTTTTTTGTGATTCATATTATACAATTATTTTTGGTTCTAATTACATGTAATATAATTTATACTTGTTTTACAAATAAAAATTAAATAGGTTTAAATAGGTTTAGAGAATTCACATTTTTTGACAACACAATCTAAAAAACAGTAGCAAGTTTTTTTTTATAATTATCCAATATTTTTTTATATTGTAATTTTTATGATTAATTTATAATTTGATTTTTTTTATCAATTTATAGCATTGTACACTGAAATTAATGTTAGAGTGGGATTTATGCATGGGCAGAGTGGAGGATCAAAAGAGCCAGAAGTTTCTAATAATTTTGCACAGGTAACATAATTCTTAACCATATTATTTAAAAATGTAGTAAATATTTTTTGTATTAAGTGTCTCGATAGACTGTTAAAATATTATACCATTATTGAATATAATGTTTGAGGAAGCATTGAATACAAAATATCAAAATATCATATAACTTTAAACATTAATTAATATAATAACAATAACAGTGGATCTACTGATTAAAAATAGAATAATAAAATATTTGATATTAATAGTAAACCAATTGAAGAATCAGAAAAAAATTGACTGGGTAATAGGTATTTAAATTTATAAAAATATTAAATACTATCTGTAAATTTATGTGTTTATTTAATAAATTACACTAATAATTCTAATATTATAATTAGCACTTTATTTCAATAATTTATAATACACAATATTAATGTCTGGTGACCTACACACCACTTGTGTGCTGACAAATAACTAACTTAACCTAATAATATAATACAACATAATCTAGTGTGATTCTTATTACACATTAAAGCTTATCATACATATCACTTCTTATCATTACATCCTCCTTTTTTTAATTTGTTCCTTATAAACAATTCAATACATAACAAAACATTTGTTTATATTAATAATAATAATAATTATAATGAAATTTTAAGTTTAATATAATACATATTATACAAAATTAAATTAATTTTGTTTACATTATAAGTCTTAATTAATAATGTATAAATATTACACTAGATGACTTATACTTAGACTTTTATAATTATTAACATATAAATACTACTAAATGACACTACCTTTTAAAATCAATGAATTTTTCAGGTATTTCATCCTTCTTTTAGAGCTGGTGCATTTCTCTATCTATTATATTTTTTTCTACCTCATCTTTTTCCTCATTTTTATTTTTTAATTTTGGTGTTTTGTGTAATAGTCTCCTATTTTTCCCAATCTCTACCTTTATCTAATTTTACTATTTATAACCTTCTGTCCTTTACTTTATATTTTATATTCCTTTACCAGGAGTAATACAAAACTCCTGGTTTCCACTGATTTTCGTTTCTGTGTTTTTGGAGATAAACCTTATTCCCCTTTTTATTAAACTCTTTAGTGTTTCTATTAAAATAATTTTTTGTTTATTTTGTAGTTCTATTTAATTTTCTCTGATTCCTGCATATTTCCCTTTTTCTTCTTCTAAAGATAACAACCCATTTATTTTCATACACATTTATATCTCTGCAGAAGATACTAAATCTCTACTTATTGGTGTATTTCTATATTCTAGTAGTGCTAGATATATTTCTATTATCCTCATCTGCCTTGATTAACATTTTTGCCACTCTTTAAATATGCCTCTCTACCATTCCATTTGATTATGCATTAGTAGGACTCTATGTGTATACTATGTGTTCTATATTTCACTCTTTTATAAAGTTTGAAACTCTTCTGATCTATATTGAGTTCCCTTATTAAATGTAATGATTTCAGGTATACCATATCTTGCAAAATTACTTTTAATTTCGTTAATTGTGATCAAGCTAGTTAATTTTGGAGTCATTACAAATTCTATGAATTTAGAAAAATAATACACTAAAATTACATAATTTTTTCTTTGAAAATGAAATCGGTTCCTATCACCTGCCATGATTTATCTGATACTTGAGAAGACTCTAGCTGCTCTACTGTGTTTTCTTTTCTATATTTTAAACAAATTTGACACTTATTTCCAACTTCTTCTATGTTCTAATTTATTTCTATCCAATATAAATAAGTTCTTGCTCTATAACTGCACTTCTCAATTCCCATATGATTGAAATATATCCTTTCTAACATTTTATTTCTTAAATTTTCTGGTACAATTATCCTATTTGATTTTTATAATATGCTTTCATGTGCTGTTATTAATTCTTTAGAATCCCAATACTTTTTAGTTTCTTCATATAATATTCTAATAGTTTTCTTTTTTCTGGCCAATCATCAATGATGCGATTTTTTTAACATGTTTAGTTCTTTATCTGACTTTGTAGCCAACCTAAATTGTTTAAGTTTATTTTCACTTATTGATGTATACTTATTCAATTCCTCAATTGTTATTTCAAATTCTCTTTTCTCCTATTCATCAAATATACTATCACCTTTTGTATTTATTCTACTTAATGTATCAGCTATTGATAATTCTTTACCAGGATTGAATTTACTATTCATTCATAGTGCTATAGTTTTATTAAAATCCTTTGTAATCTCAAAAAATAAAATATTCTGATATTCTTTTTGTCTGTTTTCCCCCATTATAAACATATATTTATATTATAGAAATCAAACTCAAAAGATCATTCAAAGGAGGATTTCACTGGTTTTACTACCGGTGACATAGAAAAAAGTGAAAAAAAATTGATGAGTGAGTTCATTTTTTTATGATTCATATTATACAATTATTTATGGTTCTAATTACATGTGATATAATTTATACTTGTTTTATAAATAAAAAAAATAGGTTTTAGGACTCGTTTAGAGAATTTACATGATTTGATAACACAATCATCTAAACAAAATAGTAAGTTTTTTTTATAACTATTCAATTTTTTTATATATTGCAGTTTCTATGATTATTTTATAATTTATTTGTATCAATTTATAGCGTCTTACTCTCAAAATAATATTCAAATAGGAGCCTGGAATTCATTAAATTTATATTTATCTTCAATGAAGCATGTTTTCACATATTTACATACGAAAGACCTTGTATCTGCATCTAAAGTGTGTAATATTTGGAAATGTTGTGCATTGGATAATTATGTAGTAAGAATGTTTGTAATAGTTATTCTTAGCATTAGGATTGAAATCTCCTAAACAAATTTATTTAAAACCTTAAAAATATTAATTAAATAATTAAAATTATGTTGTCTTAAAAAAAATTAAATAAAACATAATATCTTAATTATTGATGTACCCATGTACCCAACTGAAAATGATCTCTTGTCATTTAAAGAGAAGATAAATATTGACTAATTGTATTAAATAATTTAATAGCATGACTTTATTGGTGAACTATTTATATTTAATACTATATTATACTAGTCTGATTTTTCTTTTTTTTTTTTTTCATATACTTCTTAGTAAAAACATATTGGCAGAAATTTCCATAACCGTTTTTCAAAAAAACATTTTTTATAATCTAGTGTGTATTTAATCACTTGTGTTTAGCAATCCATTAATAACAAAAATTACAGATGTATTTAAATCTGACTCTTAAATTTCAAATAATTATAGTATATTTTAATAATAGACTTTTTGTTTTAGACATAGTAAATAAATATATAAACAAAAAATATGTATACAGAAATAAATAAATGAATAAATGCGTGGCTTGGAGTATTATGATTAGTATATTATACAACCGTATTATACAATTAAAAATTCATTATTCGATGTATCACAGTCAAAATGTAAAACGCGTTTGAATATAAAAAAGATGTCCTAGGATAATGGGGACGGGTGCAGCCCTTGTCATGGGTAATTTAATATATACCTGTAAGCAACGATATAAACTATTACTTACGAAAAAAACGATTCTGAGCTGAGTTCAGTTGATAGTGATACTTTTTCAACAATATATATACCAAATTATAGTAAAATAATAAAATAGGCTCTATATATTTTCTTCAATAATATTTGTTTAATGTTAATTAATTTTCCCGATTTTTCCAGTTTTTCACATTTGGAGAAAATTCCAGGGAAAATGGAAAAACGACCTCTCTAAAGTACATTCCCTGTGGAATTTTTTTCAGAGACATGAACTGTCATAAAAAGTTTGAGCAAAATTTCTGGTAAAAAAGTTGTCCATAGAGAAAAAATTGTAATATTATATTTCGTAAATTTCCGGTTTTTGCATTTGATGAGAAAACTTGAGAAAATCAAAAAATAACCTCTATAAGGTACTTCCCATAATAACTTCCTTTCAGAAAAGTTGCTATATATAAAAATCGGAGTAAGTCTTCTGGCAGAAAAATTGTCTACAGAAATAAAAAATAATATCATAACATCTTTGTAAAACCATAAGCTTTTTCGTTCCACTCAGAATCCAAAATTAAATGAGGAAATATACAGAAGAAAAATTATACAAATTAGTCATTTTACATATAAATAATTTATTTTAATAGGAGAGATTATTTAAAATGGGTTATTATTGGACATAGACATTATTTTAAGGAATATAAATTATTTGGTTATTATTTATTGTCTAAAATAAAATATCAGATATAATTTTTAAAATCAGTTTGTACATTTAAAATATTATTAAAATCATATTTTTATTCTATTATGTATATCTAAGTCTTCTAAAACTAAATTAATAAAAATTTTATTTTAAATATTTAATATCTCTAAGTGTCAGCATTAATATCAACGCTTATATTATGGTTATTTTTTAAAACATGTTTAGTAAAATTCGAATTAGGAGCAGTCTTTTTAAATTATTATATATGTATTATATTTATATCTTATTTTAAAATGTCTATTTTTTTTAAATTTTGACTGTGATATACCTGATGTCATATAATACACTTATCATTAACACAAATGTTGAAGCATTGTCAACTTTTTTTTTACCTTTTCAATTTATTGCTAAGTAAATTTTAAATACGTTTCATGTAAATACGAATTCAAATCTAGAAGTTTTAAGTGCAATGATTTGCAATTTTTGCATTTTTTTTTTTCAATTTTGTTGAAATTTACTTCTTTACACAAGTATTTTAGTAATAGTTGACACTTGACAATCCTATAGATAAGATTATACTATAATATTGCCATAAAATCTAATAATGGTATCAAATTTTTATTTTGATTATTCCAAGTTGGTAGGTATTCAGTACAATACAAAAATAATATGTGAAATGTGACTGTTTTGACTGTTATAATCTGTTCTTCAGTCACTCCTTGAATTTTGAGTGATCGTGTTCTGTTATTATTTTATAAATATGCCAAAAATTAAGCCAATTATTTCCACTTTTGTATAAAAATTGTTCGTTTTTAGTGCAATTTAGAAATAACTATCAATTTTAAATTAATTCTGATTACATATTAATATGTGACAAGGCTTCCGTTGTTGTTTTATTTCTAACGTAAAAAAAAATTAAATCAAGAGAATAGTATTTATAAATATCAAAAATTGTATCATAAATGAGGAAAATCAACAAAATTACAATCAAATCGAAATAATGACAAAGAATGCAAAAATTGCCCTAAAATGTTTTAGATTTTAACTTGTACTTTAATGGAACAAATTTAAAACTTACTTAGCAATAATTCCGAACAATAGAAAACAATTTGCGAGTGCAACAACTTCCATGCACTATTTATTATTATTATAGAAATAGTTTTGATTAATAATTACATTTATTGATTGAATAATTTCTAGTACTTTATTTATATTGAATTTATTACAATGTAGAAATTTATTTTATATAAAATTTACTGTTTTGTGTTTAGGAATGGATTGAACTATTGTATTATGAAATATCAAAATAATATGTCCAACAAATTCGCTAAAGTTCTGAACAATAATACAAATAATATGAAAATCGCTTTTATGACTAAAAATAATTTAATCAAACATGTAAACAATAAAACTAAAAACTCTAAAAATATCTCTCTTTTTTAAAAAAAATGCTGGTGTATATAAACTTAAATGCAATTTAATAAACTCTATATAGATAAGAAAAATAGAAATGTTAAAATAAGATATAAAGAACACATTTCTGAAATATTATTTTAAAAAAATTGCCCCTAATTCAAATTTCGTTAAATATGTTTTAGAAAATAACCATAATATAAGTTTTGGTATTAATACAGACTTAGAGGTATTAAATACTCGAAATAACATTTACATTAATTCAATTTTAGAAGAATTACATAATATGTAATTCTTTATTTCTTCTTTAGTCTTTATTTCATTGTATATAATATATACAATGATACTAAATAAAGAAAAATTATTTTAATAATATTTTAAATGTAAAATTTGATTTTAAAAATAATATCTTTTATAAATACATTTTAGATAATAAATAATAACCAAATAATTTATATTCATTTACTATATCTATTTATGAGTATTAACTATTTTAATAATTTTGTTTTTGCTTTATTTTTTTTTATATTTAATTATTTTTTTCTTCTAGTGGCAGAATATACGTTTGAAAAATACTTTTGTATGTGATTGGGACAAATTGATAGACACCATTAACAGTCGATGTGTAATATCATTAGACACAAGAGGCATGCTGATTCCTTCAAATATTTATGAATTCGAACGGTTTTGGTTGAAGTTTTCTTTAACGATACACAATGCAAAAAAATTAAAAGCTCTAAAATTATATAGATGTCCAATCAATATTGTTTGTTATGTTATGCATTTCTTACAACAACTAGAAGTACTTGAAGCTTCACTAAAGTAATACGAAGAAAGTGATCTTTTTATACTTTACAAATATAGATATCGATTTAATTCTTTAACCTTTTAGAAATCCTTATGTAAAAACAAATGCCCAGAAGTTAAATGGATTTATAACCATTAACATAGATAATGTGAGTCAAATGAAATACCTAAGAAAATTAAAAATAAAATGTCCAACTGGAATCAAACTGATATCAACACCAAAATTGACATTTGCGAACTTGACAAATTTGAAAACATTAGTAAGTTAACACCATAATTGTGTTTAACAAATAACTCAATTATAATCTTAGAAGAAGTTTATAATGTTTTATAACTGTGAATAACTAATTGTTTGCAATTAAATTAATTGCCTTTAAAAATATATAAAAATGTACACATAAGTATTTAAATTATTGTATACTATTTCTATGTTTTAGTGTATGGAAATGAAATTTACAATGGTTTCCATTTCTCCTTAATGCTTTTAATTTAATTGTTTGATTTTATTTATGGTAATTTTTTTTTTTAGTCATTAACCTCCATACAATCATTTTCTAAAGATATTTACACAAGTTTGAGAACAGTTTCAACTGACTTGGAAGTTTTGGAGATTGGAGACTGCGATTGCTTAAAAGATGATTTTCCTAAGCTTCTAAAAAAATTAATCAATTTAAAATCATTACGGTTGGAGAATTGTTATGGTAGATGGGAAAACTATTCAAAAGATTACTTTGATGCTATTAGATCAATGAAAAAATTAAAGACTTTGGAATTAATCAATATTAGTTTTAATGATCGTGTAGAAGAAGAATTACAAAAATGTAATGGTATAACAGCTTTACTGATTATTCCTTCCTATGAAAAAGATGTAAGTATAATATTGTTTAAGTTTTTAACACAATTATTGATTCCTATTTAAAATTATGTATTATTTTAGTGTGGAAGAACCATTCGTCACCTACTTGATTGTCTTGAGAAACTCTCCAATACATTAACGCATGTAGTTTGGGGAATAACACACGAATTAATTTATACGACCGGTTTATTTGTGGAACAGTATCAACAAAATCAGCATAATGTTAACTACAAACCAGATGACAAACAAAAAACAGGATCTTCCAAACATATCCCAATTTTGGATTCAAGAAAACCAAAACCACTACCTGAAGGCTCAGAAATTCTTAATATTGATGAAGCCAATTTATCAAATTGTGGAACAAATTCAATAGTGACTGTACTGAAACTTGAAACACTGTTGAAAGCAGCGATGGTAAATACAAAGACCAAAATTATACAAATACGATTTTCAGAAACTACTGGGATATATATAAGAGAACAGTTTGATATTCTTTAAATAAAATTATTATTAAATGTAGTATATATGTTTCTATATTAACAAGATGCATAGAAATTAATTATTTCACTACTATTTTTATAATGCTGATAAAAAAAACATATTAATAAATTTCATGGTGCAAAAATCAATGAGAGTTTAAATTATTAATAATTAATTGTATAATGTTTGTTATTATCTTCATTCACTTTGTTACCTTTACTATTTTAATAATATTGACATATTTGTATAGTAATATTATGATAACAATTTGTAGGAAATATTATCTTAAAAATAATATAGTAATAATTATGAATTTTGTATTAAAAAAACAATTTAAAAATAAAATAAAAAAAGGAAAAATAATGGAGATGGGTGCAGACACTAATGTAGGTGGAAAGTTGGGAACATAGGATATAGACGAGAATTTAATGTTTATCTGTAAGTAAGAATAAACTATTGCTTACGAAAAAACGATTCTGAGTGGAGTTCAATTGATATTGATGCTTTGTCAACAATATATATGTCATTTTATAGTAAAAAAAATAATTAAATAGGTTTTATATACTTTCTTTAACAAAATTTGTTTAATGTTTCCCCAATTTTCCTGTGTGACGAATGTATTACAGAAAAATAATTGTGTATTATAATATTCATTTTCATCTACATGGATGCCGCATACTAATATTATTTGATCAAGAAAAGCATATTTTATGAAAACAAATGTTGTTTAGTTTGTGAATAAGTAAGTTGTTTGATTCTATTTAAAGTTTTCTTAATAATTTGGAAAAACCGGGGAAAATGTAAGAAATACAATAAATTGTACGGTATTTGGGTTTTGATGGTTTTGTGTTATGTAGATCATATCACCAATACCTAAAATAAAATAAAATTGGATATATACATACAGAGTGTAACATGACTATTATTTGATATTTTTACATTGTAGTTATCATGTAAAAATATCAAAAAGTCGTGTTATTGGATAGGCCGATAGTATTGGGGAGACAATAATAATAAAATTAAATACTGGGTTTAAGTAAATTATAGATTATTATTAAAATTGTTATTAATTCGTAAATGATTCTTACTTTTCTTTTTTGAAGTATTATATTTTATTACATTATTGTCTTAACAAATTATAAGTACCTAGTTAACTTAACATTCATAAGCTCAAACATTAATAATAACAAACGAATCTCATAGTAAGTACATCATTAATAGTTAAAATAAATATGGTTTTAACCAATTTTAAAGTCAAATTAAATAAATATTATTGTATTTAATCTGTATAAATGATGCCTATAAAACTGAATTTAATGTCTATCATTATTGTGTATAATACTTGCTATCAGTTTTGAAATAAAAATTAATTAGTAAATTCAAAAAACAATAAACACTTTTAACAAACAACGAACTCTCAGTATTCCATACAACTTTTCCCCTCACATACATAGTGAAATTTAGAACTGGATATATAATTTGCTAAACCATGACTATTGTATGTTATTGAGAGAAAAGTTATTTTTGTACTTAAACGTATTGTAAGCAGTAGTTTCATTAGTAATAATAATAATAATAATACCCGTAATTCATTAAATGCATTTTTAATAGCGATATTTCTAAAAGAAAAATGAATTTATTACTTGTTTTTTTTTTTTGTAATACATATAGGTAAGTCAGTTTAGGATAGGTACTCGAATGAGTACCTATCTACTGTGAATTCAATGTTTATGAAATATAAATCGGTGTTATTAATTGTGTTTTTAAATTTTAACTATAACAAATGCATATAGTGTACCTCATAAGCTGCTGATAAAACAATGAATAATTTGCAAATTTGTTATATAATCATTATATTTAGGTATATAATTTTTAAAGGACCCTACAATTGCATTCACTGTTTCTGGATTGCAAATGTGTGACACCAAATTTGTGTATGGTAGGACAATTTGTGTGCCATTATTTTATTAAAACTATATTTATTAATTCATTTATTTATTTTGAAATACACGCCAGAAGGCATTGAGTACAGAAAATATATAACAATAAAAATATAAAAATGTACATTAATAGTGAAAATAAAAAAGTTCAATCAATCTGTAAGTGTTCTAGGTATAAACTAGTATATAGTATATAGTCTAAAAGTTGAAAAAATAGTCAAAAATATAATATATATTAATTTGTAACGTACTTTAAGAGGAATGAAAATAATTTTGAAAGTTATTACAGAAGACTAGTGTTCTATAGATAGTGGAAAAATAACCGTAGTGTTCTGTGCCTTATAATGTGAAAGGTTGGCCGGTTTCTAGAGTTAAATGTAAAAACTGATAAATTAATTTGACTAAGAAGAAACTATCCTCAATAGTACCATTTAAGATTTTGTAAATAAAAATGACGTAAGAATATAAACGTCTAGAACTAAGAGAATGAACAAATACAAGTTTTCTAAGGGGTTCATAACAATAATCAGCGACTATACATTAATTATTAGTATAAATAATGAATAAAATATTATGAAATGTATTTTTTACTCTTTCAATTTTGTTTATCCAGATAAATAAAGGAGGAACATTAAAGGGGATATTTACGAAAATAATGCTTTTTATTATTTGCAGTTTTGTTTTTTGTTGAGTTTCAGTTGAAAATATTCATATGGACTTAATGAACTTGAAATTTTGAGGTAGTACTTATATTTGCGTTTTCTAGACGAGGCAAAATTTTCAAAATATTTTAGCCATTTTTAAACTATTTATAGACATTCGAATTTTACAACAATTTTATACGTTTTTTTTTTTTTTTATTTAGTAGGTACTATGTGGGGAAATTGTTAGATTAGAAAAAATGCTTGAAAATTCAACAGGAGGTTCATTAATAGTCATATTCTGTGGTAAAAATAAATATTACAGAAAGTTCACTAATATTCATACTTAGTGGTGAAAAAAAAATGAGCTTCATTGTAATACTTTTTTTTATGAAAGAATTTTAACATCAAATTGTGATGGAAATCGTTTGAGTAAAAAATTATGTGAAACAAATCTAATTTTTAAATTTTTTATTTTGTATATACATATATATTGCCAATTAAAGAACGATGGTGAAATAAGAATTGAGCAGACTGATTTAGTATCGAAATTATAGTTTTTTGAAGTTCTGATATTACGGGGATATTATTTGTTATGTTACATAACTCTATATTGTCATTAAGTCACTAAGTAACAACTGTTTCAAATTCTACGAATCCGTGTGAAAACCGATGTTATCGCGTAACGCGGTTATGTTATTCACTAAATAAGATTCTTTAGGTAAAAAAATAAACTTAATTTAAAAATTAATATATGTAGTTCTCATCCCTAAGAGTTATATAAAAAAGAAAAACATAATTTGATTATCTTTATTATCTCCAAGGGGTATATCGTATACCTTCTTGAGAGAGCGTGTATATAATGCATAATGCATATGTATAATTTTACCATAATATGACATATATATTGTTGACAATGTATCACTATCAACTGAACTGCGTTCAGAATCGTTTTTTCGTTAGCAATGGTTTATCGTTCCTTACAGATATACATTAAATTACCTATAACAGTGGCTGCACCCGTCTCTCTATTATCCTAGGACGTCTAGGACGACACATTCCTAATAACCAGAAAACTTGCTCCGTAGTACAGACAGTAGTACTTTTTCTGAAAGGTAATTTTCTCTATTAGACTCATTGGGGAGCTCATTATTTAAATTTCCATAGTGTTTTCGAAAAAAATTGGAAAAGAAAAAGTATATGAAAAACGACAAATATGTACGGCTGCGGCGCTCCGCGGTGTTATCGTTTTCATTATTTTCAACGTGTTTACACGATGTTTTAAATTTCTACCAGAAATATTGTTCCAATCAAAAAATTACTGGTTATCGATTTTATTCCTATTAATATTTCGCTACTGACAGAGGAATTCGTTTTTTGATGTATAAAGCATTTTTTTTATAATCATTAGGAAAAACCAAAAAGACGAAATATACGATTTTTTCAAATTACGGCACAATGATTTCATTATTTTAAATTTATACGACTTATGTTTTCTACCAGAAGCATTGCTCCAATAGTATCCAATAGCTACCAGTATCAGCTTTTTTTTTTAGTATTGAGAATATACTTACACTTCATGCGAAGTATGTCCGTCTTTTAGATTATGAGCGTATCGAGGGAGCTATTAGTTTTACTAAGACGTTTATTTCTTATTTTTTTCTTTGTTCTAGTTTGTGGACACGTTTTTTCCTAGTAAACTCACTCCGAATTTTACATGTAGAAACTTTTTTAAAAGCTCAAGTTGTTTATATGGTACTTTAAACAGAAATTTTTTTGATTTTCGGCGCTATTTATTGTATAAAAGCACTTAAGTGGGAGAAAATGTAGGAAAACATACAATTTCACGATTATTTATTTTATAAAAACACAGACGACGTTTTCTACCAGCAAAAATGATTTAATCGAAAAATTACAAGTTGCTTTTTTTGTTGCCTTTTTAATTTACTTTCTTATGGTATCATTGCTAAACATTTTGAGCTACTTTTGAGCTTTTAAGGAATTTAAATTGTTGGTGGTTTTTTGCTGCAATTCAGTTATAAATATACGTAGAGACTAGACTCTTAGTAATAATACTTGGACTTACCTAAACGTGACTTTTTTTTTTTTTTTAATAGGCGTTTTGAAATAAAACTTAAACGAAAATCGCAAAAATTGTATATAACTAAACTGCGTTCGGAATCGTCATTCGTCAAGCAATGGTTTATCGTTGCTTACAGATATTAATTAAATAACCTTATATATCCTACCCTCTCATCTTCTTACCTACAACATTGGCCGCTCACATCTCTAATACCAGCTAGTACCATGCCATTGTTTTCCTTTATTTTTGGTCTAAATAGCTCAAGTGTATGTATATTTCTGGTAGAAAACATAAGTTGAACATATTAAAATAATTAAATCGAGATGCTATACGTTGCCGTAAAAACGAATCGAT